TTATTATATATGCATAGGTGCATATTTGTTTGTAATAGTCACATCTTCCTGTTGAATTGATCCCTTTATCAATATGTATTACCCTTTGTCTCTTTCAACAGTTTTTGTGTTAAAGTCTATTTTGTCTGATATTAGGATGGACACAACAGCTCTTTTGGTTTCTGCTAGCATGGAATATTTTTTTCCGTCCTTTGACTTTCAGTCTTTGTGTATCTTGTTGGTGAGAAGTGTTTCTTGTAGGCAGCAAATTGATCGGTTTTGTTTTTTAATCCATTCAACCAGCCTGTATTTTTTAACTGGATAGTTGAGGCCATTTACATTCAGGGTGATTATTGATAAGTAATGACTTGGCCCTGCCATTTTTCCATAGATATTCCTGTTGTTGACTTTGGATTTCCTTTGTACTTTAAAAAAAGATTTATTTATTTAAATGAAAGGCAGAGCTGCAGAGAGAGAGAGAGGGAGAGGTCTTCATCTCCTTGTTCACTCCCCAAATGGCTACAACAGCAGGAGCTAAGCTGATCCGGAGCCAGGAGCCAGGAGCTTCTTCTGGGTCTGCAATGTGGTTGCATGGGCCCCAGGACTTGAGCCATCTTCTGCTTTCCCAGGCCCCAGCAGAGAACTAGATGAGAAGTGGAGCAGTCAGGTCTTGAACCAGCGCCCGTATGGGATGCCAGCACTGCAGGTGGCAGCTTTATGCACTACGCCACAGTGCCGACCCCTCCTTTGTACTTCTACTAGGAGATTTTCTGCCTTCACCTTTTTTCATAGTGATGACCATGTTCTGTGTATAACACATCCTTAAGCATCTTTTGTAAGGCTGGACAAGTGGTAACAAATTCTTTCAATTTCTGTTTGTTATGAAAGGTCTTTATTGCACCGTCATTCATAAATGAGAGCTTTGCAGGGTACAGTATTCTGGATTGACAGTTTTTTTTCTCTTAAGACTTGGAATATATCTCGCCATTCTCACCTAGTTGTAGAGTTTCTGAAGAGAAGTCCGCTGTGAGTCTAACTGGAGATCCTCTGGATTAGAAGAAGAGCAGCCAGGACTAGAACCGGCGCCTGTATGGGATGCCAGCACCACATGCAGGTGATAAACCTGCTGCGCCACAGCACCGGCCCCTCAGATACTCTTTGTTCTGTCTCACCAAGCCTGTTTTCCACCACATTTTCTGTTTGTTCTATTAAATTCCTCTTTTCTAATATTTTGTTTTGATTTTTCTTTAAAATCTCAAGTTCTTGGGAAAAAATTTCATTCATGTCATGTATGGATTTCTTTCATTTGCTCCTGATTACTTCTAAGTAATCCTGCAATCAATTTTTTTTTTATTCTGTTTCTGGTATTTCTTCAGTCTCATCATCTTCACTTTCTAGTATTGAAGTGGTGTTGTGTTCTTTTGTGGGCCTCATGTTGTCTTCCTTGTTCTTGTTTCTTGAATTTCAGCATTAATTTTTAGCCATTTGTGGAGATATTTGTCATGTTTTTGGTTTTTTTTCCCCCGTGATGGCTTTTATCTTTGGACTATGTCTCTGTGGCTTTGTGGATTGTCTGTTCTTTCAGTGAATACCCCCGGCATGTGCTGGGTGTGCACAGGGAGCTCTGTTCAGTGCTCCAGGGTAAGGAGAGTTTCCAAGGTGACACCCAAGTTCTGTATGGTAAATCTCTCTCTCTCTCTTTTTTTAATCAGAGGGGAGGTTTATTCAGTTCTATTGCCATAGTCTCACGCTCACCTCTCCTCCAAGGAGACCAATGCCTGGTCGCTAGCCCCTGTAGGTACAGTATTCATCTGTGCAGCCACAGGAACCACACAAAGGATGTGTGCAGTCCTTGGTGTGAGCACAGATCCCACAGCAGTGACCCTCACCAGGGAGTCAGGGAGCCCTGAGCATGTGGAGCCATCCACAGTGACTGCCCCAAGACCCAGCTACACCCTGCAACCCTCCCATGCAGCCACACTGCTTTCACAGTCCTTGCGCACAAGCCTCCCACAGTCACGAGCACCCAGCCTCCTGTCACTTCTCCCAGCCAGACTCAGGCATCTCCTCTCAGCTCATTGCTGGGTGCATGGACACAAGCTGGCACAGATGTTACATATGTACAAAATGACACCCACCCTCTCTCAGCTAGTTACAGAAAGCCAGTGCCTGGTGGTCAGGGAGAGAGAAACCTGCCTCCTTTTTTTCCCTCTAGATTGGCCGGTACACTGCCCCCACCCCAACCCCCACCCCCCCACCCCCAGAGCTCCAAGTCAGACTCATACCCAGCTCTTCCCACAGTGGCTTGGGCTGCTGCAGTCTGGTCTCACCTCACTCTCCAGAGCTGGTGCTGAGGCTCTCGGCTGCTGGGGTCCTGAGTTGCATGTGTCCACACCCTCCTGGAGGTCCACAGTGTCCCTCCAGTTTGCACGGAGTTTCCTCTGCTGGTTTCTCCCTCTTTCCTGAGATTGCACTCGCTCCACTGTTTAACTCTCCCCTGGACTAGAGCAGCAAGATTCCACCTTCATGGAAACCTCTCCAGAAGGAAAATGTCTGTCTTAATCGTCGCTTTAAAACACGTTTGTGAAACAGCAGTGCTGTTCCTACGCCACATTACTTTGTTCATGTGCTCTCATGTTGTGTTCAGTGCCTATACATTCTTTCTTTTCCTTTTGGTGATTATTTACCCATAATAAAATAGAAGATATTTATTTCTATTTCGTTTCTGAAACATCTTTATTAAGAATAGAAGAAAAGCATTGGGTCAGCCTTTGCAGCCATTTGGGAAGTGAACAAGTAGATGGAAGACCTCTTTCTGTCTCTCCCTTTCTCTCTCTCTAACTCTGCCTCTCAAATAAATAAATAAATAAATAGAATCGAGGAATGTTGTTGCATGCTTATTGTGAAGTAAAGTATCTTAATTCACAATTCTAAAACTAGTTTCTGAAAATAATGACCTTTTTATCTTTTTGGCAGCAATATTCACAGGTTCTACCAGACAGTTTTCTTCCTGTTCATTCATTGAACGTTAATGTTTTAAAATTCTGACAGGACACACACACACACACACACACACATAAACACACATACAAACTTTTCTCTTCCTGTGTTTAAGATGTTTTACATTCTTCTCATTCATTCTTGCACATTTGAAGTTTTTTTTAAAAATATGTCTTTTAATACTAGTGTTCAAAGCAAAAGAGCATTGCCTGCTGTCCTGGTCAGTTCATAAATTTATGGTGAGGCATTGGTATAGACTTTGACAGTTGATAATTTTGCCTTCCAGAGGATGTTTGTCAATGTCTAGAGACATTTTGCTTATCACAGTTGGGAGAGGGAATGCCTCTGGCACCCAGCCATTAGAGGCCTGAATACTTAACAGCCTGCCCTGCACAGCACAGCCCTTCTCACAGGAAATGTTTTGACCCAAAATTCTGTTATGTCTATGTCCAAGCAGGAACAGCCTTGTGTTAGTGGCACATCAAGACAAGAATAAATGTATCAGGGCCTGCACAGTGGTGTAGCAGGGAGGGCCTCTGTGTGCAGTGCCAGCATCCGATGTGGGTGCTGGTTCAAGTCCCAGCTACTCCACTTCTGATCCACCTCTTTGCTATGGCCTGGGAGGGCAGTGGAGGATGGCCTGAGTTCTTGGACCTCTGCACCCACATGGGAGACCCAGAAGAAGCTCTTGGCTTCAGATCGGCCCAGCTCTAATGGTACCAGCCACTTGGGGAATGAAGCAGTGGATGGAGGTCTGTCTGTCTGTCTGTCTCTCTCTCTCTCTCTCTCTGCCTCTCTGTAACTCTGTCAAATAAATAAATCTTTAAAAAAAATAAATATATCTAGGGGCCAGCATTGTGGTATAGCAGGTAAAATTGCTGCCTGCAATGCTGGCATCCAGTATGTGTACCAGTTCATATCCCAGCTGCTCCACTTCTAATCCTGCTGCCTCCTAATGGCCTAGGAAAAGCAGTAGAGGATGACCCAAGTGCTTGGGCCCCTGCTACCCATGCAAGAGACCTGGAAGAACCTCCTGGCTCCTGGTTTCAATCTGGCCCAGTGCTGGCCATTGTAGTCATCTGGGGAGTGAATCAGCAGATGAGAGAGCTTTATGTCTCTCCTTCTGTGTGTAACTTTCAAACAAATACATAAAAATGTAAAAATAAAAAAATAAGTTTATCTTCTTTTCACACTTTAGATTCACACTGTAGTTTCAGAAAGTAAGGGCTATTTATATCAAAAACAAATATGGACTTATTAAAATTACTTGAAATTTTTGTTGTGGTTTCACACCTGTTGAAGACTGTTTCAGGTTATACCCCTCAGGCAGCCTCCTCCCTTAGGATGTCAGGAAAGGACACTCTGATGAAATGGCTTTAGACTGAGGCCTAAAGGATGACGAAGAATGAAATATACGGGGAGAGAAAGACAGCATCCTAAACAGAGGGAGCAGCGAGTGGCAAGGCCCAGCAGCCTTTTTAAGGAACTAAAGGAAAAGTAATGTGGTGGCAGCATGGAGATACAAGGAAAGAGTTCTCTAACATCTGGTTAGAGAAGCAGGCAGAGGGATAGGGCCTGGGTGCAGTGAGAAGTCAGTGAAGTGAATAAGTAAAAAATGGCATCTTCCAATTTACATTTTTTAAGTTTTCAAAAGTCACTTGGGTGTCGCTGTGTGGAGCATGACCAGGAGAGGGAAGGGTTGAAGCTGAGCGTCTCCTTGAGACTGTTGGGGTTGTCTGAGTGAGAGGTCGTGTTGTGGGAAATGAGTGGTGAATGAATTCAGGGTGAAGGCACGCTTCCACAACTGTAAGTCAGCTCATGCATCTAGCTTTGTGCTAGTAACATTTGGTGTTACACAAGTAGCACACTCATTATATTTAACCTCTAAAATATTTTTCTGAACTTCCCAGTGTCACCAGTTTTTCCTTTTCAAGTGGAAGGGGTTTTTTACCACTGTTGGTAGTTGTTTCTTTTTTTTAACATCTTCAATAATGTTGAAATATTATTTCTTCCTTTTTAAGAGAAAAGAAGTCCTTTTCATCCCTTCTGAAAATGAGAAGATTTCTAAGCAGCTCCACCTTTGTTATAATATTGTGAAAGATAGTTATGTCCGAGTTTCAAATAACAATCAGACCATTTCTGGATGGGAGAATGGTGTGTGGAAAATGGAGTCCATATTCAGAAAAGTTGAAACAGACTGGAACATGGTAAGTTAGTGTATGGAACTGTTTAGAGTCTTTATCATTGGTCAAACAAATACAGATTGACTTTATTGTGCAATTGTGAATAATGTGAAAACTGATATATCAAGATTATTCATAGTAATCCTTTATCCTGGGAAAGAAAATTCTGCACACAATGCATAATCCAAAGCCCAATAGAAATTCTTGCATTCATGTCAAGAAAGTAACTGTTTTCATCAAAGAATCTAAATTTAATTGTTTCATGGGAAAAAAATAAGTGTGTGACCAATCCATATGGAGTTTTTTGCATAAATATGTAAAGTATATTACTGTTGAGTTTCTTCACAGATATGTATTGATTGCCCACTTAATGCAGTCTCTTCGAGAGTTTAATAGATTTAGTTCAAACTCCCCAGATGCTAACCATGTGACAGGCTTTCATTTCATAGGAATCTGAGCAACAATACTGGTTATTTCTTTGCTGTGTCCTAAAAAATTAAATAAAAAATAGAATATAAGGCCATAGTAGTTCCCTTATGTGGAGTTGTACACTGTTGTCTCCTGTTATCAGTACCAAGTACAAAAGCCTCTGAACTGCCCTGCTCCTTAGAAACATACCAGCAGTAAACTCAAAGCTATTAATATGACCTCAGTAGATCTGATCATATTAGTGATGGATTTTCATAGTTCATTCACTTACAGGGAGCTGTATAGTTAGCTTGCTGAGATATTTGAGTGGGAATATTGTTCATTTATAAGATATACTGGACAGATTAAAAGATATACTGGACAGAGAGAGTAATAGATTAACACCTGCTGATGTGTCTAAGAATCTAATCTATGCTGTCACTGTCCTAGATATTAATAGAGATTCACAAAAGGTATGCAGAGTCATTGCTTTTTTTTTGTAAGTTTTTGTTCCTAAACTTATCTTGATGTTTAAGAATATAAATATCCAGTTTAAATCACATTATTTAATAAGAAATTGAAATCTTTTTATATTAAGCCAAGGATAATTTATAGAATTATTAAAATTATAAACTTGGGAATTTTCTTCTTGCTAAAGAAATACATTAGAAGAATAGAACAAGGTGAAATATAAAATGTCAAGCTGAATATACAATTAATTCATTATATAATTGATAAAGAAAATATGGTCTTCTGGGAGACCATACTCATCCTAAAAATTTCCCAAACAGAAAATGGGATGGAAATACTATTTATCCAAGGTCTGGTGTATCCTTGCTGAACCAAAGAAAAATCACATACTGCTTTCTAACCAGCAGCATCGTTAGAGAAGCTGATGTTAGAGAAAATAATGCTGTGTTGCAGAAGACGTGACGTGCTGAGAAACAAGGCTCTTCTGTGACAGATTTCTTCTTTGTCTAGTGTACTCATTTGTTCATCAACATTCATTGAGTGCCTTTTGTGCCAGACATTGTTCTCAGTTAGGTGGATAAAAAGATGAAGGTATGGTTCCTGCTCTCACAGTCTGACAGAGAAACCAAGACATAAACAGCTATCCTAGCCCCGATGCAGAGTGCTATAATAAGGATATCAACACATTGCCATGGAAACACCGAGATGGGAGTAATTAGCTCTGGCTGTGGGAGTTCAGCAGAACTCCACAGAGCAGGTGACATTTGAGCTGGATGGTAAAGCATGAGTTGGTGCTCATCAGGCAAGGGGAGAACAGGAAAAATGCACAGAGTACATGGCACGTTGGGAGATCTCTAAATAGACCATTGTGGCCAGAGAGGGTGTGTTGTATAAGAAGGATTTAAATAATGTAAATGAGATGCAAAGGCCATTAAATAGAAAATAGACCCCTATTCAAGAAAAGTGTGTGCCTAGCTATACTTTTATGAAGGACGTCATTCATTAAAAGTTGAATGAATCCGTTTCTAGCTACAAAGCCTAGTACCAAATGAAAAACAAAACAAAACAAAAAAAATAGAACCTTAACTATACTTAAAGAGAGTGACAACTCAGAAGTAACAGTTGTCCTTAAAAATTGTAATTCCATCAAATTAGTATATCTGGTTCCATACCAACTCCCAATTAGGGATTCCGCAGCTTTGTTAAAACGGTAGATGTGTTTCCGACTATACCTTTTCTCAGTAATTGCCAGCCTGGTGTCATGACAGATCTGATAGAGCCTGCTCTCAGACACTTGAACCTGATTCTTAACCCTCTGGGGGTGTCCTCTGAGTAGCTAAAACAGTTTGCTGCTTAGCAGATATGTTGTTCAGTAAAATCTGAATTGAAAAGACATTTTATTCAACAAGTATGTCTAAGAACACATTATTTCTTCCACTAGATTGTGAACATTCCTCGGGCTCTTTGTCTGCTTACTGTGTGCTCTCTCTAGTGCAGTGCCTGATACACATGTGTTTAGTAAAGATTGTCAAATGTAAGAAAAAATGATTGAATCTGCACCACGCTGGGGCTGCATAGAGCACTATAGGTACTCTTTTATTTTTTTTAGAAGTGTCTCTTGGATGCTCTTAGATATGTTTCACTTTTGAGCAGCTTTATTCTGTCTGTTACTAGAGTCATTTTAGCGCTTTTTGTGTGCATGGCATTGTTTCAGTTTATTCACTTAGTTCTTCAGCAAACATGGCATGGCATGCTCAGACATTGTGCTTGGCACTCGGGATGTAATGGTGAATTGAGAGGCAAGCTTCAGGGTGAACGTCAGTTAGTGTAGAAGAAAGACACATGTGGGCCAACTCTTAGACGAGTGGGGTAAGTACCTGCTGGAAGAACGTGAGTCTGTATGTAATGCTGAGGGAGGGATGACGAGAGTCACAGATGGGATAGCTGAATAGTCTTGGGAGGGGAGGAGAGGGAGAGTTTCTCAGTGCGAGGACAGAGTGTGGAAAAGGAGGGCATGTGCAGACAGCACTGAACTCACAGAAGTGAGGAACTTCTATCTATTCAGGGAAGAGTAATGGTATGGAATATGTTGGAAAACAGTAGAAAATGAAACTAGAGAGGCAGAATCAGCTGTCAGATCCCAGGCCTTTGATGACCTTGCAGATACGTACAGGAAATCAGGAAGGGTTCAGGCAGGGACAGGACATGATCACACTGATGTTCCAGAGACGATCCCAGAGGCCACACGTGGACTAAATCAGAAGTGTAGCAGAGAAAGATTTAAATGCAATGAGAACTGACAGCAGGCTCATGTTCAGTTTCAGTGATAAAATGGAGGAACCAAAAGTAAGATTCATGAGCAATACCAGTGTAGCAGTGTTGAATTAACATCCCTTGAAATACAGCCACTCTGCTGGATGTCTGTAGCAGTGATTGCCCGCAGGGTGCCTGCTGTATGGTGAACTTAATTAGAGTGAATCTTCGCAGCCTGAGCAGAAGAATAATTTTAAGAGCATACTAAAGAACAGCTTCAAACAGAGCAGTAAAAACCAAACCTCCAGGAAATCGTAGCAGGCTGACATGTAGTAATAAAAAAATCTTTAAGCAAAGATCTTCCGTAGACTGTGAAATACATAAAGAAGCTGACATGCAAATTGTTCTCAGTCCTGCAAATAGTGACTGCAAGGGCAGCCCTTGTGAGTAGTGCAGCTTAGACCATGTGTCGTAGACAAACTGATCTGTTGCTCACTCCCTGGTGTGTGCGCCTGTATGTGCTTAGAGCTGACAAGAGCAAGGGTGTAACACTGATGGGAGAGGATGGAGCGGCATTTAGAATTCAGTCTACAGGAGAAAGACTCCATGATTTCTGGCTTTCCTAGCCTTCCTGGCAAAGTCGGATAGCAACACTCACCTCTTAGTAAATCCCCACATTGCAAAGCCAAGCACGTAGAGCTGCACACAGTAAAATAACTTATGACTTAATAAAGCTAACAGGCAAAAATCTATCAGATAATTCAAAATGTTAATAAATAGTTATAAAAATTACTTCTTTTCCCTTTCGGCTAAACAAGCAAATGTTTGAGAGCTTAGAAAGTATGTTTTTTCCTTATAAATAAATTATAGTTACTGATTCTGTTGGTATCATACATATATTGGGTAATAATTGCAGGTTTATGTAAATCCTATTGTTTGGGTGCATTTGTAAAATTTTTTCTTATTGGCCGGCACCGCGGCTGACTAGGCTAATCCTCCGCCTAGCGGCGCCGGCACACCGGGTTCTAGTCCCGGTTGCCCCTCTTCCAGGCCAGCTCTCTGCTGTGGCCAGGGAGTGCAGTGGAGGATGGCCCAGGTGCTTGGGCCCTGCACCCCATGGGAGACCAGAAAAAGCACCTGGCTCCTGGCTCCTGCCATCAGCCATTGGAGGGTGAACCAATGGCAAAGGAAGACCTTTCTCTCTGTCTCTCTCTCTCACTGTCCACTCTGCCTGTCAAAAAAAAAAATTTTTTTTTCTTATTTATTTGAGATGCAGAGAGAAAGAGAGATGGAGCTCCCAGGGCCAGTGTTGTGGTATGACAGATTAAGCTGCCACTTGGCAATGCTGGCATCCCATATCAGAGTGCCAGTTTGAGTCCTAGCTGCTCTGCTTCCAATCCATCTTCCTTCAATGCACCTGGGAAGGCAGCTGAAGATGATCCAAATACTTGGGCCCTTGCCAACCATGTAGGAAACCAGGTTAGAATTTGTGGCTCTTGGTTTCAGGCTGGCCCAGAACTGGTTAGTGTGATCATTTGGAGAGTCAACCAGTGAATAGTAGAAAAGAGCTCTCTTGCTCGCTCACTCACTCGCATTCTCTCTCCCTCTCTCCCTCCTTCCCTCTTTCTCTCTCTCTGACACTCTGCCCTTCATATAAATAAATCTTAAAAAGAAAAAAGAAAAAAAAACAGCGAGCTCCTTTCTGCTGGTTCACTTCCCAAATGCCCACAACAGCTGATGCTGAACCAAGGAGCCAGGAACTCAATCTAGGTCTCTCATGTGGGTAGCCAGAGCCCAACTACTGGGTTAGCAGGAAACTCAAATGAGTAGCCAGAGCCAGATATCAAACCCAGCTACTCCAGTGTGAGATATGGATGTCTTAATCACTAGGC